GTACTCGGTTGCTGCTTGACATAGTTTGCTAAGCCTTTAAAAATTTTGCACATGGACGATATGAAACAAAATAATTTTTTTTAGGTTTTATATTTACATTTGAATAACTGAAAAATCATAAATTACTACATCAATATTATAGAATATCACTATAATTTATCAAGCTTGGTAACTAAGATGTATTTCATTCTAAAAAAATATTAAATTTCGATCAGACTAAAGACACACCCTACCTCATTGAAATATTGGCTCAAAAGAAAGAAATGGCATCCTAAAAATTTAAAATAGCTGAAAAGGCTACTAGGGGGAACATTCTGAGCTTCCGATATATATAGAAGTGTATATAAGGGAGCTTTAGAAACTGCAGAAACGAGTGCTGAGAAATCGGTAAATCAAACAACTTAGTGTGCTAGACCACATTTACGTTGCATGTGATGACATCCAAACTTGTTTTCCCTTTTCAGTGCTTCCTATCTTGGAAATACGTAGAGAATTATTGGTTACCTTAACAGCTTGGGTGAGCCTTGATAGCTCTCACGTTATAAGTACACAGCTTACAGCAGTAGTGTGTCACATAGTGTTTTTTGACACAAAAGGTTTCTGTTATTTCTGTTTCCCACTTTATGAAGGTAGAAAAAGCCACCAAATTTTTATTTGTTATCATTCTGTTCCTGGTAATTGATTGAACATGTGCATGCAATTAAGTATGCATATACAAACAAAATGGCAGAGCATACTCTCAGTGCAAAGTGCCACCTGTGGCATTCAGGATATAATAGTCTTGGAAACACCTGGAACATTCATGTTAAAATATTTGTTGTTGATATACCTGACTTGACTATGATTAATTTCATTCACAGGTGAGTTACAAAATGCTCCCCTGGAAATATTTTTAGGTGAGTACTATGATTAATTTCATTCACAGGTGAGTTACAAAATGCTCCCCTGGAAATATTTTTAGGTGAGTACGAGGTGCACATGAGCAATTGCTTGCCTCTCATGGCAAGCTCTGCTAGACATACACTAATAACAATTAAACAGTATGTAAAAATTCATTTGTTAACCTATTTACACCCACACTACTCCTACTTAATTATAACTACCTTAGCTCTAGCTTCACTTTAGTAAAAGTTACAACAAATTATTCTTTAACTGCTCAAAGAAAATTTAAGTGCTGAATAGCTTGTTAAGTTAATGGCATTTGTTAGAATTTACTAGACAATGCTTTATATAAGCAAAATGAAGGAAAGTAACCAATTACTGTCCTCAAAATTCCATCAGGCAAGCAGATGGGACTCAAGAGACAGATGTAAAAAAATTCATTAAAATGTGAGATCAAATAAACACAAACAAGAGTTAAATCTTATATAATTTATTTCCATAAAACTGAAATGCATTAACTTGGCACACTGAGCATGTACAATGTGTCACATTATACAATATGATATTTGACTAATAAAAATATGGACATGATAAAATTGGTACAAAGAAAAAACAACATTTTATGTAACTGGCTCAAATACAATAATAAGAGATTATATACAGATATTGGTACTTAAGCATCAAAATTCATGGAATACAACATAGATATTGGTTCAAACTATTGCCCTTTGGCAGCCTGGGTTCTCATTTTGAGTATGAACACATACGTGAAACATACTGCATGTCATTATGTTCCTAGAGACATTCATATGAAGAAGTGCACTTTGATATATAATATATGAATAGATCAATAACTTCAGACAAAATCATTATGGATAGATTACTCAGAATCTATTTTAACATGTATAAGTCATGGTCGTTTTGCATAGCTGTCAATTCTATGCCTATTACTAGTCAAAAGAAATTGCATGTAAGTCTGATTTTATGATTTTTACTAATATCAAATTTATGAATGAACATTAGCATTCTTTAGTCAGCAGAGGCAGAAATTAAATCAATAATTCCCCAATCATGGACTTTTCTCTTCTTACCTACTTTTATTTCCAAGAAGTCATGAATAAATTTTCTCTTATGCGACAGTTCTAGAATCGGAGATAACTTATACCAAAAGTGATTTGAATTAGAAAGGAGACTAATAGCTTGACAATTAAATCAATAAATATTTACAGTAACAGGTATTGACCCATTTTGAACAGTTGTGTTTAACAACATAAACTTTGTTAAGAAATTTAGTGTTATAGTTTTTTAATGATACCTAACCTAGTCATGCACACAATCAGGAGTTTTTTAAGAAGAAGGCTCACTTTCAATTCACAAAAAAAGACAACTACAAATATGTTAAAATAGTTGATAAGAAGATAAAATATTTATATCATAGATTAAAATATGTGTAAGTTTAAAAGTTATATAATATGATTTAATTTTTGTCTTAACTATTTTAATTATTTATAAATTTACCTCAATTTATTTTATTTTATTAGATAAAATATAGTTTAGATACATAATATACCATATTGGCTTGATTATAGGATGATGTTTTTTTATTAATAATTAGGCTGTAAAATTTGTAGTTGCCTTATAATCGCGTCTGACCACAGGCCCCTTCCCCCTCACTCTAGCCTGTTGCATTACTGAATGTTAAGGTAGCATCCATCTATGCATGCACACCAGATGTTTATTCTTGCTAATTCTTGCAACTAATTCACCTGCAGGCTGTTCAGTTAGAGTATTGATTTTGTGGACCAAAAAAAGAATGTTATGGCACTCAAATTTTTTTTTTTATCTCCCATGGTTTTAGAAAATGGGGTCTCTTTATATTCAAG